CTGATTCATCTCTCATTCAATTGCTCTACAACTCTTGGTCTCGCTTTCGATCTTTTGATTCTTTGCTCTTCTTGTAAATTGAATACATTTGTGGAATCATTTAAATATATTGGATTTTAAATATATTGGATTTTAAACTGTTATACAATATTTTTTTTCATCGATAGACTGTAATTGGAACCATAACTCTTATTTATTCAAAATTGTATTAATATGTAAAGACTAAGTGTAACTTATATTATCGTTAAATCTTCTCTAATAAAACCAGTGAAACTTCAAAATCGTTAAAATTCACGACTCCCGCCGTATTACACGGATACACAACTAGTTAAGTATAATAACGATCATTATGGTTTGCATTTTGCTTTAAAAATGATTCATTAATTTGACTTATTAAAAATTCTTTGTTAAATCAAGGGTTTTTATTTGTCTTTTACTGGTTTTGTTTTTTACATATTAATTCACCCAACCCCATCCTACACCTTACCCCCATCAATCCTCTTATGGTCGTTTTAACCTTTTTCGAGTATCTATTACACTTTTTATCAAGAAAAAAAAAAAAAAAAGTTAATATCATATATTATATTAAAACTTCTATAAATTAAAACAATAAAAATATTTTAAATGATAAACAAAGATACAAAATACACATAATCAGAATCATTCTTGTAACATTATTTTAAACAAACTCTTCAATCACATCTTTGTAATCAATATAAGAATTTACCAATTATTGTTTACCTCAAGTTCTCAAGAAACCTTTAGGGACTGTTTACCAAATGCTTACCCGGGTAAGCGTTTAACCATGTCACGTTACCTCATAGGATGAATATGGTAAGGACCAATAATCTTACCCGGTAAGAACGAGACAAAGACAAAGAGTTTTACCCAGTAAGTGATGACGACGACTCTTACCACGGTAAGCGCTTACCAGATAAATAGTTGCATACAATGTCGTTTTGGTGGACTAAAATCTTATCTGGTAATTAAATAATAGTGTTAAATTTTACCGATAAGCACTTACGGTGTAAGTGTTTAGTAAACGACCCCTAACTCAATCCTAGGATCAAATTCTACCGCAACTTTAAACCTTTTTGCGTGTTATCAAAAGGTTATAGTGCTATGATGAACGAAGTTAAAACGAATGCAAGTGGAGTTGCTCGTTGAACAAGAAAGACAAACAAAGAGCAAGAAAGAGGAAGATCATTAAACGAGGTCGTGCGTATTGTTTCAATTATAAAACTAGCCATTGGGAAACCAAGATGAGTGAGACTAGCAGACTAAGTCAATATTCAAATTAAAGACCTAAGGAGAAAAGATTGTAGATTTGCAACAGTGATAAGGAATCGACAAATCATCCAAATCTGATAGAAGAAGAGCATTATGATAATTGTTAAAACATTATAATTACCCAACTGGGCTAAAATAAAAGGGAGAAGGCTGAATAGAATGAGTTAAAGGTCAAAATTGGGTATAAGCTAAAAAATTATATAATTGGACCCCAAAAAAGTTCAGGGTTCGGAATCTCATACTGATACACCCTCCGATGCAACCCTGACTCCTCTCCCTTCCCATCGTTGGATTTCTCTCCTCTCTCATCGTCAGATCTGTTTTTGTCGGCCTTTATCCATTTTCGGCGTCCTCCCATCACTAAACACCATCGTCCCTAAACACTATCTTTTATCAGATGAAACACCTCAATCTCCGATCATCCCTAGTCCAACTTCTCCAATAAAATCCCAGCCTCCATCCCCCTCGTTACTGCTACCAACTATAATGCTCACCACCTCCAAATACTGACCACCATCTTCTATAGTAAAATCTTGTCTCCGTCCCCATCGTTGCTACTACAATATATTTATGAAACTAGATATTTGTTAGACTAGATGAACAGTGAAGATTGGTTTGTAACATTTCCATGGTTTATATTTGATTGGGCCTATATATATAATATTGGGTTGGACTCTAATGAAGATGAAAGTTATATTGAGAAGTGTAAAAAGGGATCTCCACCTTTTGATCAATCATAACTGAAGAGAACCACTAGATCAACACTAATGAGCTACACTTGACTAGTTCCCCCTTTAAAACGCAATTTATCGATTGTTTTGGAATTGAAGAGAACCACTAGATCAACACTAATCAATCGTATTCGTTTCAAAATACGATCCGTTCGACATTCATTTAAATATCGTAAACTCTTTTCACTACAATCAACTTTTACAAGTTGTTTTGAATATTATTAATTCACTCTTTTTCTTACCACTTGTTGTTCATAACATACTTGATGTTTCAAGGTTAGAAACATTGAAAAAGGTAACCATAATAGCTCTTGCAGGCATTTTTGCAAATAATTCTCAAATATAAAATTAAATGCAACGTATACGGATGTTTTATTTATAAATCATCTGATTCTAACAAACTATACGTGATTGGTACCAACATTTTTCTGGTTGGTACATGTTGGTACGATTTTGTACCGAGTATCCAGCTAACATGTTGACATGTGTTGTACTACTTATCACTATAAATATAATCATTCAAACAATTTTCATTTAATACAACCATTCGTTAGTAATTTGATACAAACGGCCACTGAGAAGGGACAACGGCCCGATGAAGTGTGGATAGGTTATTGAGGTTGTTAGGATTGAACGAATGAATTCAATCAAGTTCTATCTATTTAAAATTTAAAATCAAAATTTGTTGTATTATACTAAACTTTAATATATAAATAATTAACAAATAATTAAAAAATAAGTTGGCACGGTGTGGTATTACCGTGATACACGAATTTTAATACCACGTACTAACCAAATTAAATAGTTGGTATGGTACTACAAACCAATTAGGTTGGTACCAATTAAATTGATACACTTGGTGTAACAATTGGTTGATTTGTCATGATACAAAATTGACACCCCTAGTTTTTTATACCAGTTAGTCACAACATTTTGATTTATTTGAAAAACTATTTAAGGGATGTTTAATAAACACTTATCGCTTGTTTACCGAGTAAGTAAACACTCTGTGCTTCTTATTGTTAAATAGTTACCAGTTTTGTATTGTTAAACGAACCATAACTATGTAAAAAAATATTAGTGAGCAAACAACCTTTATGGTTAGGTTTGAGTCAAAGTCCTGTAATAGTTCCCGTTGAGCCTTCAAGTCTATTTCAATCCTTGTATTTGTTTTGAAATACTCGATTAAGTTCGAATCTAGTTAAACCCGATTATGAGACTAGTCTAGAATAAGACCCAACATTTGTGTTGGGCTATACACATTTACGGGGGTGTTTGGGATTGCTTATAAAAGCTGTTTTTTAACTTATTTTAATCTGATACCGGTGATAAGCTGTTTTCTAGTGTTTGGATAAGAATTTCTTTCATTTCAAACGTATAAATATCACATCTAAGTCTCCTAACTTTTACCAATAGCTCGTTTGAACTCGATATCACGACTCATTTGAGTTCACATTTAAACATCTACCTCTTTTGATATGCTTTAAGGTCAACTTTTACGATATTTACGTTATCACTAATTAACTATCCCAATGCCCTCAATTGGTTGTTTTCAATCCTTAGCCCGTATATCTAAATAATTCATAATGACTTACGGATATTCACCATATATTTTATCCTATAAATTAATTCCGTGAAATCGTAACTCAATGAAAACTAGACATAGGATAAAACAATCAAATTTAAATAAAAGATGCAACTAAAATCCATAAGAATGATGATGAACTATAAGTTAATATACCATTTAACCATTTTTTTTAAATTAACCTGGATATCCAACCCGTTATGTGAGCCGACTAATTCCAAGAAGACCACCTGCTTTGCGGATAACCCGGAGTCACCACATTTGAACTTCCGTGGCCACAAAACATCAGATTCAATTTTGATAGTGGAGCTTCAGAAATAAGGGAAAATGACTTGATCTTCAAAATAGAGTTGATTGGTTCATTCTTTCTTTTTAGGCTATGTTAGACAAACTAGCTAGCTGGTAGCTGATAAGCTAACTGATTAACAAATTATGTTTGACAAATAACGGATGAGCATATTATTTTTGTCAAAAAAAACTAGCTTATAAACATATATGTAGTCCAAAAAGAACATGTAGAAAAAATAGTCAATTATAAACATATCATAACATAATTCAAATAAATTTCTAAAAATATAATTAAAACAAATTTCTAGTTCTCCGCACTACTTTTCTGCAGTTGAATACTATCATGCCTATTTTGTGAAAAACTGGTTGGCTCTTGCTACCTTGCGAAGCAAACAAAAGACCCCCAAATCACATTACCTATATGAACAAACAAGCTTTGTACAACCAGCGTATATGGAAAAGATTCCGTATTCTATGCCAATGGACTCGTGACATCCATGTACTAAGTCGTCAAATGAGCCACGTTAAGAAAGCCCAAGCTTATATAGTATATACTATATACGCATTGGGCCACGGGACAGGGTGCCCCAATAGGGTCCGAATGAAAGACGCATTGACCCTATATGGACCATCCTACAAAATACAAATGAAGACTTGGGCCTGTTTCGATGAAAGCCCACAGAAGGGAACAAGCCTACCCAATACCCATCATCAAAGCAAGCCCAAATGCTTTAATGACCTCAATGAGAACGTTAAAAAATCACAATTTTAACTCACATAATGATGTCATTTTTTTTATTTAATTAAAGTTAATATAACTCTTAAAATTGATGGTAAGGAAGTTTATAAATCAAAAGAGAATAGAAGGACTACAGAGACTCGTAAGGAAATCAACTTATTAGTTATCTGAAAAATATCTGGTTGTAGTTGTACCAGTATCACATCATCAAATTGAAAAATATCTTATGAATTGCTTTTAGTTTATCTTACTTGAACGAACAAGAGATCAATCTTTCCATATTTCTATATATTTTCCAATTCAACTTAACATTATCAAATGCCAATTTTATTTATTTCTATATATATTGCATTGCATAGTTGTAAGATCAGGCGTAATTGCAGAGACCGTAAATGCAGTAACCACCATGCATGCACTTGTTGTCGCATGATCCACAGTTCCTCTTGTCATAAGCCAAAGTGACGCACTCTCCTCGGCAGCACGAGCTCGTAAACTTGCACTTGTTCTTGCATGCTCCACAATTGTGCTTGTCTTGGCTCAAATCCATACACTTGTTGTTGCAACAAGTGGAGTTTATACCTTCTAAGATATAACAAATCTCATTATCTTTGTTGCAATGGTCTGCACTTCTAGGGTTCTTGGTCTCAGCCAAGAAACGACTCAGCCTCTTTGGAAATGGTTTCAGAGCGAAGGACTGATCGCTCAGTGTGGGTTTGTGAATATTGTTGTTGATGGAGGTGAATGTGAGGGTGATGGTTATGGCAACGGTAATGACTATCATGAACAAAGTTTTGATCATCTTCGACATTTTCAGGGATCGATGAAGGAGATTGTAGAGAGATCTAAGAGCAGGTTTGTTTTCTAGAAGAAGAGTGAACAGGAGTTGAGGTAGAACAATAGGACGTACAACCCTTTATATACGATGATTTATGATTAAAGTATTGATATGTCTCTAAATAATTAGCAGGTGCAAGGGATACGGGAGGTCTTAGCATGCACTCTTTCAAAAAGCTACTTCAAACAGGGTGCATTAATTATCTTGATTAAGGAACAATCTAAATTAGCCGTCAATTATCTACGTATTAGGGTAAATAAAAATATTGATCCAACATAAAAATATAAAAAGTCAACTTGTTTGTTTTGGCTTAAAAGTATATAATATTTATATGATTTAATAAAATAATATAAAAATAAAGTATATTTAATGAAATTTACATTATGTTTGTTTAAAAACTAACGTACGATACGAATGTCAAAAAGTAATTGTGATTTTATAAGGAGACATGCAATTTGAAGTTAATTACTATTCAAGAGTCGTATGTGATTAGTTAATTAATTAAATTATTTTAGGGGTTGTTTGTTTACTTCTTAATAGTTCCATTAAGAGGCAACCTCTGAATCGTTAAGTGGTGAATCTTGTTTGGCAAAAAAAAAAAAAAAAATCGGTCTCTTAATGGTTCTAAAACCCTCTGAATGATTTTGTATCCTGAATCTTCCTTAACCATTAAGAGCCCTAATTTCATTGTACACAATTACCAAACAATTATATTTCATTTTGCACTATATCATGAAAGTCTCTTAATCATTCTGAACACTTAATCATTATGCACCAAACCATTCAGCAATTGCCAAACAGCCCCTAATTATATATACATAATTCATTTCTATTTTATTAATTATATATACATAATTCATTTCTATTATGATTATACAAATGTCAAAAAGAAAGGAGGGAAGAGAGGGGAGAAATTTAGAATGACTAAAATGCCCTTAATTAATATCTTAAGTTAAAATTAACAAAATTATTAATTTCCTAATTTAACCTTTAATTTGTGGTTGATATTAGATCTCACGGTTATCACAAACTAATCAGTTCTTCCTTGAATGAACCTATATATATATATATATATGTATATATATATATGTATATATATATATGTATATATATATATATATATATATATATATGTGTGTGTGTGTATGTAATTAAATGAGAACCACAAAAAGGTTAAGAACCTTAAGAACCAATCTCAACCATCTAATTTCTCGAATATAACAACCTTGATTGATGTTTCATCTACAATTAAGGAAGGATATGATTTTAGTTTTTTCTTCTCTCGAGTATTTTCCATTACCCTTTTTCATAAATATCAAAATTTAAAAATAAATATTTTGTTTTAGTTCAATCTTATGCGATGTAATTTACTTTCTCACATATATAGATTAACTTAATTTTTTTTTAAATATATTTGATTGTTTTAAATAATAAAAATATCACATGAGAAAAAAATACAATAAAAATAAAAAAAATGTAATTAAAATTGTTGGTCCCGAATGGGATGACAATAAACAGAAAATTAATTGTAGAAAGGGGGTTGAATATAATTACACAGACTTTTTTAACTTTTTAATTCTTATTGATGTATATCAAGAATTAACACACAGAGATACAAAAGATTGTTGCAGAAGATAGGAAAGGATAACCTAACATAAACAATCTTATAAGAAGAAGAACTTACAAGAACAACACAAAGAGTAAAGAACTTACAAGAACAACACAAAGAGTACTTGAAATGAAATGAAAAACACTAAGTTTTTCTTCACACACAGGAGAGCAAGGGAGTAGAAGAGAATAGTCGATTGCCTTAAGAATGCACTTAGTAATCTTTCAAAAAGCCAATGTTTTGCATGGGAGATGCACACTGCCTTTTATACTACCTTCAGCATTTAATGCAAGGAGACACTTGTCACCTGAGGATAAGAAGGCAGGGGTTGACTTGACCATAATTGATATCTCATTTTCATCGTACACAGCGTGCATACAACACTGTTCATGCAGAGACAAACTTTTGCAGAGATATGGACAGTCTGTAGGAAGATCTTCTTTGGATGGATTAGTAGCTTCAAACAGCTACTCACAAATCTTTGGTCCATGAAGATCTTCAATATTCAGTCCACGAAGATTTTCAATCTTCGATCCATGAAGATCTTCAATCTTGGGATTATGAAGATTTTCAATCTTCGGTCCATAAAGATCTTCCTTCAATCGGCTTGTAGTTTCAAAATTTCCAATCTTCATTTCAACTACTCTGGAGTCTTGGTGTGTATATTAGACACTTGATCCACAACATCGCATCGGTGACCTTATGTCTTCACATCGGTGACCTTATGTCTTCACATCGGCTAGTCTTCGATTTTGCCAATGGCTTAAGTATGTACCAAGACACCAATATACAAAGAAACCAATAACTACTAAGTGTTGCTAAATTAGAGGAACAGATCAGTAGGTCATCACCAAATCAATAGGTGACCCAACAAAAACATCACATGTAAACACCAAAGTTCTGTTTTATACAATGAAATAATATAATATCACTAAAATGAAACAAAATTAATGTTGTTTGACAATGTAAGAAAACAAAATTGATGTGAAATGTGATGTGGAAGTAAAACACTAAAGTGTTCTTTCATATTGTGAAACAACATAATATCGCTAATGTTTAACAATAAATTGTTGTTTCACAAGGTGAAACAATGTAGTATTGTTTCACAATTTGAAAAGAAAACAAAAGTTGACGTGAAATAGGATGTAAAACACTAAAATGTTGTTTCATATTGTGAAACAAGACAATGTTTCACATAGTGCAAAAATGTAATGTTGTTTAATCATGTGCAAAGAAACAAAAAAATAACGTGAAAATGTGATGTGAAATACTACAGTGTTGTTTCACAAGACGAAATAACACACGAATTAAATCACTTATATTGTTTCGTTTAAAAATTGCAATTATTAAAAAATGTAAAAAAAATAATTATACTCATGTCAAATTAAAGAAGATAAAATGTTATGCTTGTTTTTTTTATATAATTTTTTGATTAAAAAGTTTATTGTAATTAATATATTTCTAATTTAAAATTTGAATGTAATTAATATAATTTTGATAGTCATCATTGTTGACTATATATTGAATGTCAAATGCCTAGAATGGTCTTTTCAGTTTCTCATTTATCTAATAATTAGTTTCAAATTAAAAAAATATTACAAAAATACCAACGCCTTTCATAATCATAGATCAAATTCAAATAATGAATAAGATTGATCTTCACGATCCTTAACCTTCTTTGGTCCTCATATGATTTAACCTCTACATATGTGTGTACGTGTGTTGTATTTGTGTGTTTGGTAGGTAGGTGGAGGGTATAATGTATAAGAACACAATCAAGTTTTAACTATACAAAAATGTTGAATGAAACTATCAAATTTAAGGTAGTGTTTGGTACGCAAACATGATTGAATTAGACATGGCAAAACTGGACAGCACAAAACTAAACAGGAGTAGACAGTGGACGGGATGAGAGGATAGGACTGGACAAGACTTGTCAGAACAGGTGTATGTCTGATGTTTGGTACGACTAGGATTGGACATGACAGAACTAGATAAGTTGGCCCAAAAAGTTACTTGATGATTTTATATATCATGTAGCAGTTCTAATTAACACAAACAAAGTAATTAATTAAATAATTTAATTTATTAACATTTTCATACATAAATACATACATATATAGTAGTACCAAATTTGAATGAAAATTTTTATATAAATGGATGGTAGTTCGGAAAAATTCGATTCGTACAAAGGATAAACTATGTTTATTCGGTTAGGAAGATTCTTAGTAATTGACGAAGATATGGCGAAGATTGTTATAACAACAATGGTTGTAAAGATAGAGGCATTGGTGATTGGTGGACAATGGTGGTTGTGGTGGACATGAAGACGGTCGATAATGGTGGTGGTGACGGTCGACAATGATGGAGGAGGTAGTTTGTGGCCGACGTCGTGGAGGTGGTGGTGGTGGTGGTGGGCAATGGTAGTGGTAGTTGATGTTAGAGATGGTGGTGGTGGTGGTGGTAGACGGTGGTGGTCGGTGGCCGGCGATGGTCGTGGAGGATGTGGAGATGGTAGAAAGTGGTGGTGGTGGTGATTGACAATGGTGGAATAAATAGTTGTGACCGATGTGGTGGAGATAGTGGTGGTGGTGGTAGGCAATGATAGTGGTAGCCGATGGTGGTGGTGGTGATGGTTAATTGTACTAGTGGTGTTGGTGATGGGCGGTGGTAGTCGGTGGCCAACGGTGGTTGTGAAGGTAGAGGCAATGGTTGTTGGTGGACGACAGTGGTTTGTGGATGACGTAAAGATGGTGGATAGCGGTGGTGGTGGCAGTCGATAATGGTGGATGAGGTAGTTGTGACTGATGTAGTAGAGGTAGTAGCCGATGGTGGTGAGCGACAATAGTAGTGGTAGCCGATGGTGGTGGCAGTGGTTATGGTGGAAGTGAAGTGGCCCATGGTGGTAGTGGTAGTGACGAGGGACGGCGATATCAGAGACGGTAGTTGTGGAGGTCGTGGATGAAGTGGTTGTAGTAGAGGAGGAGGAGGTGGAAGTGGCCGACGGTGGTAGTGATGGTGATGACAGATGGTGATGGTCGGTGACCAAAGGTGGCTATCGGTAGCCGTGACTAGTGGTGGTGACCATTAAAACAAATACCATATTAAGGTTAAATATCAAACGATGGTAAATTAGTAATATTTTAGTTTATGTCTCGTTATTGTCCCATCAAATAAAAAACTTATTTCTTGCGTTATCCCATCTTATCCCTGCCCCATATCATGTCAAACGTGAGACAATGACTTTTGTCTTGTCATATTCTATTCTCTCCATATATAAAAAAAACAACCTAAAATCCAAATTTGGTCAATAATCCCTAAAATGGCTGATAACTTTGATTTAAATTTATGAATAAAATACACTTTTGGTCCTTGAGTTTTTTCGACTTTCTCACTTTTGGCCCATATGATCTTTTATTATAAATTTGCATCGAGGTTTGCAATTTCGCTCGGACTTGGTTCCTTGGACTAACGACTATTAACTTCGTTAAGTGTGTGGCATTTCAGTCTTTTCCAAATTTTATCTCATTTTCTCTTTAGAAAATAAGATTTCATATAATTAATGTATTAAGTATATACAGATACACATACACATATAAAGATTAAAAAAACATAGGAACCGAAAATGTATTTTACTCAAAATGTACTTTATGATCAAAATATAAAAATTTAAACTTTAAAAATAAAAAGTTCAAAATGAAAAAAACTAGAAAAAGGGTACAGTTACATAATAAAACCCGATCAAACCGTCAAGTTGTCGAATGGAACCAAAAAATAGACCGACTAACCCAACTTAATCTAACCTAATGTTAATCGATTCATAAAATATAAAACAAATGAGAATAGGGTCACTCATTTGTTAGGTCCATGTCAAACTAAACCAACACGCTAAACTCGACAAAAATGATTTGTGATTAATTGTCTAATATCAAACACGAGTGCGTACTCAATTGAATAACAACCCATTAACAACTTAATACTTTAGCCTATATTAAGTAGTTTAGCCTCCTAATTTAATATTCCAACAAGTCTAAGGGGCAGTTTATCAAACGCTTACTGGGTAAGCACTTAGCAGCAAGTGTCACCACTTTCACTTACCTTATGGGGAACATTTCCGCCCATCAAAATGGATTGATGGTTTGCGTTTATAATCCGGTAAGCGTTTACTATTAAAAAGCCATCAATAAATACGTATTTTAATCAAGAGTAACATTAAATATATCATTAAAAAGCCATCCATGAATAATCTAACAAAAAACAAGAGTTTTTGAATAACATATTCAATATTTCAATTTGAAAAACATGTCAAAAGGAAGACCACTTGTGAATCAAAAGGAGACGTTGCCCTGGCTCACACTTCGTTCTCTATGTGGTAGAAAAGAAGACTCCAACAACAAACTTCACGGGCATTGGGGGTCGTAGAAAACCCTAGCATCGGTTTTGGTGAATAAAAAAATTGATCATGTATTAAACCTTGATAATTTTGGTGAATAAACACGACTCTTCCATTCACACGTGAAGGATACCAAAAAGGATTATCAACGCCACCTAACTCCAGTGGATCGGCCAAACATCCATCTCTTCCTCACCGTCACTGTTCAGTTGTAACGTATTGCTTCATGAATCACCATCATAATCAACGTCGCTACGCTTAGACATCTACGTTGTAAGGTGGCGATGAAGATTTCCGTCGTCTGCGTGCGAAGAGAGAGAAAACATAGTAATTGAACGGAAAACGATGGCGATACGCAAGGGGTAGTTTGGTCAAAATAAAAAAAGTGACCGAGCTTTGACCTCCATCTGTAAATTGTGAAATTTGGGGGAGACGAGAGATTTGTAGTCAACAAGGAGAAGCCTAGGATTGGTAAAGACACCTACAAATCAGTAAACGACAACAGTGGTTGATGCAGCATTCAGTGCCTTCTTCCCTCACACGTTTAACATTTTTTCTATAAACAATCCCCAATTTCAACCGATATTCTGATCTAAGTTGTCTTCAATTTCATGCTCAATAGAAAAAACCCAAAATCTTCAACTTGGGTTTTTAATATCTTCTTGAAATTCTCCCACTCAGACCCCCATCACACGAACATACGCAGATCCTCCAACTTGGGGTGCGTCGAGAATCGATGATGGCTAAACTACTTCTAGGGTTCCTATTGTTGAGCTGCTTGTATCATCAATCGGCAATGGGTAGATTCGTAGTGGAAAAAAACAGCTTAACAGTATCTTCTCCTGAAAGCATCAAGGGAAATCACGACAGTGCCATTGGCAACTTCGGTATTCCTCAGTACGGCGGTAGTATGGCCGGTACGGTGGCTTACCCTAAAGAAAACAGAAAAGGTTGTCGGAAGTTCGACGAATTTGATATTTCTTTTAAAGCCAAGCCTGGTACTCTGCCAACGTTTGTTTTACTCGACCGTGGAGGTACACAGTTAATCCTTGGTATAAAATTGATAGTTTTTAAGCTAACTATTCTATTCTCAGGTATCTTTATCGTTGTTTTTAGCTAATTTTGCAATTTTTTTGCACGCTTGTCTGTTCCGTTGTTGATTAGCTCAAACTAAGCTTGTTTTTTGTTGTTACCGTGCTGTCACAATCTATAATTGAGGTTAGACTTCTTTTTTCCTAAAATGGATTTGGATTTTTCCTTCTGGATTGCTCTTTCTCAATTGGATGCTTAGCATGTTGTTTGTTCTGATTTAAGAACTACATGTGAGATTTGAGTACTGATCTGGTTGTTGGCTATTCTTTGGACCAATTTTTGTTTATGAATGATATGGTTAAGAGCAAATTTCTTTTAGTTGTTCGGCTAGTTTTGTCTGTTTATTGTATTTTTTTTATTTTTAGGTTCATTCGTTAATTTGTATCACCGCTGACAAACCTACATTTAGATTAAGATTTCTTTTATTTGATTAAATTTCATGCCCCCATTTTTTGTTGTAAGATCCTGTTTGTTAAGTGTATGGCAAATAGGTTTGGTGCCTGTTTGACTCTTGACTATTCTTGAAGGGTACAACTAGTTGCATATTTCTTCCATTATTCTGTAGGTACCAAACAAGCTGGATTTCTATCTGTTTGTCCTTGTTCCCAGATTTTGTTTTAGAAGTGTGGAACTTAGTTGATTATGCCTCTGATATTTTGATGTAAAGGCATGATTTTTCATCATGGTCGAGTTCTATCTTTTTAATCTTAAGAGAGAGTCCGGATTATGTGAGAAATTTTCACTTTCGTGAAAAGGTGAGAACAAGTGGAGATACCTTATATTATGAGAAGCTTTTTTCTCTTATATTAGGACTCTCGTCTTTAATATATTTATGCATAAATATACGTAGGGACACACACATATCGACAATTAGGCATGTCCTATGCTAACAGCCAGCTTCATTCTTTTGTTTTAATTTTGAAAAGTTTATCTTGATGTTTTTTTTGGACACCCATCTGTTGGTTGTGTGATGTTACGTTCAATGCTGGTAAATGTTGTTGTAGCTTATGTATGTATTTGAATCTGTCTACTCTGGATTTTTCATAGAAGTTAAGTTAAGATTATGTTAAGTAAATATATTCCTCATGCATAGCTTGATCTTTTTTCTCATCATTTTGGTTTTTTACTCCATGAGAAATTTTTATGAAATTAGTCTTAATCTCAGTTCAAGTAGCTTGAGATAAACTGAACTTAAGCAAAGCTTCATGATGTTACTGATCTGCACTGTTTTTGCTATTCAGATTGCTTTTTTGCTTTGAAGGTTTGGAATGCCCAAAATGCTGGTGCTTCTGCCGTTCTTGTAGCAGATGACATTGAGGAAGCACTAATAACTATGGATACGCCCGAAGAGGATGGTGCTTCTGCAAAGTATATTGAGAACATAACAATCCCATCTGCTCTAATTTCCAAGAGTTTCGGTGAAAAGTTGAAGAAAGCAATCAGTGATGGGGACATGGTAAATGTGAATCTTGATTGGAGAGAATCTGTTCCACATCCAGATGATCGTGTGGAATACGAGCTATGGACAAACAGCAATGATGAGTGTGGTGTTAAGTGTGATATGTTAATGGACTTCGTGAAAAATTTCAAGGGTGCAGCACAGATTCTTGAGAAAGGTGGCTACACTCTATTCACCCCCCATTATATTACCTGGTATTGTCCTCAGGCATTCACAATAAGCAAGCAGTGCAAATCACAATGCATAAATCATGGAAGGTACTGTGCTCCTGATCCTGAACAAGATTTCAGCACAGGTTATGAGGGGAAAGATGTGGTTATTGAAAACCTACGGCAGCTTTGTGTGTTCAAAGTGGCAAATGAGACAAAAAAGCCATGGGTTTGGTGGGACTATGTCACTGATTTTCAAATAAGATGCCCCATGAAAGAGAAGAAGTACAACAAGGATTGTGCTGAGGGTGTTATCAGTTCCTTAGGTGAATGTTGTCTGCCTCCCTGGTTATCACATCTGTAAAAATTGTAGGTTGGAAACTAATGAAGGTTTTTGTGCAGGGCTTGATTTGAAGAAGATTGAGAAGTGCATGGGGGACCCTAATGCCGATTCTGACAATCCTCTCCTCAAAGAAGAACAAAATGCTCAAGTATGTTGTCTTATATTTTTCAAAAAGCAGCTGCCCATTTCTTCCTAGGCTCAGAAAGTAATCAAATACTTGAATAACATAGGAAAATATGTTTGAACTGTTGTAACCACCGTTGAGGTTCAATTGTATTAGTAATCTAACTATTATGCCTTTTTTTCAGATTGGAAAAGGATCAAGAGGTGACGTGACCATATTGCCTACGCTAGTTGTCAATAATCGACAATACCGAGGTCAGTTCTTATGCCTGCATGTGTTTAAATGTTGGGGGGGGGGATCAGTTGCATGTTCATTCTAAATCTTGTGGTCACAGGAAAGTTGGAGAAAGGTGCGGTTCTGAAGGCCATTTGTGCTGGTTTTGAAGAAACAACTGAGCCAGCTGCTTGTCTGAGTGATGGTAAGCTATAATCAGTCGGTTTGTAGGGAATTACATGGCACTCAAAAATAGATTGCTTAGTCTGGAATTTTTCTCGCAGATGTGGAAACAAATGAGTGCTTGGAGAACAATGGTGGTTGTTGGCATGACAAAATCGCGAATGTCACTGCATGCAAGGTACATCTCGTAACTTCTAGGATTATGATATTCTTGCTTATATTCTTAATGGTTGCATCTACACATGCAGGATACTTTTCGTGGGAGAGTTTGTGAATGCCCCTTGGTTGATGGAGTACGGTTTAAAGGAGATGGTTATACCAACTGTGAAGGTAAAATCACTAGGCTTCAGCTCTCTTTTTTATGCTTTTCCTATCCCAGAAAGAAGTCTACACACCAAACCTGGAATTGAGGTTAATCTAAACAGTGTTTCTTAAATTGCATATAACCAACCAATGTGTCTTGGTTTTATCTCCTGGTCAGAACCTTAACTCACTTCAGTCAAGGTGCTGTTTACTCTTATCATTAGTGCCTTTTCGTCTGACTATTTGGAAAACAAACCCCTCTTGGGGACACTCCTCATTATGCTGATCCATCAACAACACCCGCAACCCCCTTCTTTTGCATTTATATAGTTTCTCTCTTAATGATTTGTTAAATTATTCATGTAATTAAATAAGAGGATTTTATACTCAGTCTGATAGGTGTTGCTTATTCTAGTACTTTCTTGAGGACTAATTAGCACCATATCTAAAGCTTTAACCTTTACTTCTGTAAGAAGTGATCTGAATCTTGCTTTTTGGCAGTGACTTTCGTATGTGTGTGTATGATGGCCTCAGAACGAGTGAGTTACATTATTATATATATGGTATACATGATGGGTTAGAAGTTTATTCAATCTGTGAAGATTTTTTATTTGCATTGCAAGTTACTGAAGTTATATAGTCCAGAAGACCAAAAAAGCTTCTAGGTATGCGTTGGGTGCCTTGGAGATTTCCTTTGTCATCCCTATCTAAAAACAGGGTACTATGGAGACAGAATACGAAGAAATCTCTTAACTTGTGTTTCAATAACTTGTCTCAATTTTTTATCACTTGCACGATGAAAATAACTTGTGGTCCGCCAGTTATTTCATAGTTCAACTTAATGCATCGTTTTCCATTTTTTGATGCTCCTGCGCAAGTTACTTGTTACTTACAATTTGGAATTCAATTACCTACATTTACCTCCCTTTAACTATTACTTTGTTGATTCCACCATCATTTATCAACTTCGGTTTTCTTTCTCATCTTCTTACTACTAGAAGGGGCAAATGACTCTCTCATAGACTTGGCCTTTTCCTAAACCACATTCAGAGTCTTAACTCATTCTCTGGGTATTAGGTTAATGTAAAGTATTGGAGTTTCAAGGGCATCACTATCGGTAGAAGTTACATTATTTCTCAAATTGTAGTGTCTGCTACAAATGTCATTAAGCTCCTAACTCCTGGTTATGTGATATTTGTTGCATTCTTGCTCTACTCTACTCTACTCCTGGGTATCCTTGCTATTTTACTTGGTATCCCGATTTTTTTTTGTCCCCCTGATGATGGAAGTGTTTCAAAAATGGATTTCTCTGTAGGACTAGGTATACTCCACATGACACCTAATCACCTATATGTGTTTTGTGGAGCTAAGAAGTGAATGCAAAGATGGATGGATGTCTTTCATGATTTATGTTTAATGTTTTAAATATTACTTTATCCATCTCATGCAAGTGCAACAATTGCCGTTTTTTGAACATTTTGTAGGGAAATTTTCAGGCTACACTTGCCTATTTTGCCAATTTTCATCATTACAATTTTGTGTGCCCAGTAATCATAGTCAAAATTTCCCTGATTTGTCATTGTTAGACAATTGATTTGTAATCAAAGACTTCCGATAAACTGTCTGTTGTGGAGGATGTAGAGAATGTTGTAAAAGTAAGCTCTCTCGTATTATTGGAACAAGCAAACAACTGATGACGATTCAATTCAACGTCTATATCAAACTAGTTGGGTATTGGCTAACATAACAGCAAGAAGATTGTAGGCTGAATATGAAAGAATAACCTTCTTTTGCAGGGGTGGGAAGGAGGGGGACGAAAGTTTGAAAAACAGTTAGTGTGATAACTGCTTAAACAATAAACCTCCTTCCTTTATTTCTTTTTGCACCTTATGAATTGTGTAGACACTGATATGCCATGGTTTTCAAGTATTTAACTTCTTGTTTCCAGGTATGTTTCTTTCTGTATTTGTGATTGTTACTGAATTTAACAATCTAATAAGCTCAAGTGTTCATGTATTCTTACACATTATATTCCCTCTATCAAGCACTATATAAAAATCAATCAATTTGAAATGATGCCTTAAAGGTTATTGGGGCATCACCTTTTGGTCACCTAAGCAACAAGGTGAAGAGAAGCTCTGCGTTATATGAGTGTCATGATGACTTTGACCACATCGAGCACCTAGATCAAGTAGTTTCGTCTAGTAATTCAAATGGCACCAAGAAGACCAAGTCATGTGACCCCTTTTCTGGTGGGTATGGCCTCATGGATCAGTTTAAAACCAAATCAGGTTAAGAAAATGTCTATAGACTGTTGGTTATAGGGAGGGTAAGATAAACCAGAGTTTCTATAGGAGATTGCAAAGATAGGATTGATAATTCCCATGCACTATTATTTTGTGTTAGTCTTATGAAATTATACAATGATTCAAAAGAAGTTCCTACATGCAATGCATTTATAGGCTTGCTGCTCTGGTTTGAGACGGAATGCAAGTTATCACTTTTGCCGATCCCCAGTGATAATCTTTGTGTTCTACCTCTTTATCCTTTCTTGACAATTCACAAATTTGAAACTTCATATTTTTCTTTTATAAAACTTTCATTGTAAACAACAGAATATAGGTGAGCCACAGGTTGCCTCAACATTGTAGCGTTGATGGTGATCATTTAATAGATCTGGGGCAAGTATTGATTTTTATTGTTCCATTTCACATTTTTGGTAATTTGTAGTATAAGTCATTCATTGCATGCTAGACTCACGTGATTCAATCTGGTTATAAATTCTGTTTGTAGCGAATGGGCCAGGACGTTGCAAGATCAATAATGGGGGATGTTGGCATGAAACCCGAGATGGGCATTTCTACTCTGCTTGCTCGGTTCGTGCTCACTTTGCAATTATATTTTTTGTCTCTCCTCTTTAACTGGTAGTCAGATGTAGATTCTCAAACATCTTATTAAACAGGATAGCGGGAATGGTAAATGTGCATGTCCTTCTGGGTTTAAAGGTGATGGCGTAAAAAGTTGTGAAGGTAACTAATCTTGCATATACTGATATACCTACAATCAACTTCTTTTTTCTGGGAAACTAGTGTTACTATAAGACAGCATTTAAAACCAAACTAGGATCAAACTGATGCCGGAAACTTTATTTTACTTCAAGGCAAGCCACAGAGCAGTTCAGTTTCAACTACTTGATCAATTTCTAGTTCAACCCTCATTTCCGTTCTATTAACCGCAGATATTGATGAATGCAAAGATAAGAAAGCATGCCAGTGCCCCGAATGCAGTTGCAAGAATACTTGGGGAAGCTATGACTGCACCTGTGGTGGTGACCTTTTGTATATGAGAGACCACGATACCTGCATAAGTATTGTCTTCAGCTAAAATCGTTAATCCATTCCATATGGGTTTCCTGTTGCTGGCTTCTTACGCCTTGTAATCGTGTATAGGTAAGAGGGCTGCTGAAGCAAAATCCGCATGGACTGCTGTTTGGATCATTTTATTGTGCTTAGTTTTGGCTGCCTCTGGAGCATATCTTATCTACAAGTATAGATTGAGGGTAAGAACTCTGCTCCTATTACCACTTTTTGTTCTTTTTTAGGGGGAGGAGGGTTGACACAGTAACATGCAATGTTACATGAATCATTTATCTTGAAATTGAAATCATTTGGGGTTGTTACTTTCAGACTTACATGGACTCGGAGATCAGAGCGATCATGGCACAGTACATGCCTCTGGACAACCAAAGTGAAGTTCCGAATCATGTAAATGAGGATCGTGCTTGAGAAAGAGGAGTCTTGGAGGATTGGATTCTTCGGAACTATGGTGATGTGTTGAGGGAACATATATATCTTGTACATCCAACCGGTGAATTCAATTCACAGATGTTTATGTACCAAATTAGAGATGATAAGCAAGTATTTTTAGAAAACTTGTTGAATTTGGATGATGGGGGAGATTTGATTGTAACAAGTTGCAAGTGTGATAGTAGTGATAAATGATGATGGTATTCTTTACCAGTTACTTGCTGTCTCTCTGCCTCCTAAAGCTTCTTTTATCTAATACTCCCTCTCTAAATAGGCGTCCACGATATAAATATCACATTTTAATTAATGTATTATGCATCTGGAGTGATGTTCGAGGGAAAATTCCTAAAAAATGAAAAACTGAAGAACACCCTTATAACCATTTAGATTGTTTTTACTTATCACTAAAAACACTAGAAACTAGGCTGTGGGAACACGAATAATTGCTTTATTTTGAGCTTTAGAATCGTTTTGATTTGTGTGAATGAACCACCGGTTCAAACATCTATTTATACTTGAGCAAAAGGGTAAAATGGTCCAAAAATCGGTCATAGTCATATGACCATTTGGTGAGTAAGCCGAAACGATGTCGGTTCCTTAAGCAATTGAGCTTCAAAAAAACCATGGTCGTGGTAACCATCGAGCCTTGTAGTAACCATCCCTAACCCGATAACAAAAGCAAACAAAATACATATACAACCCTATATATATACCAAACTAACTAATAAACTGGACTAAAAGACATTTTTACCCTTCACATTTTTAACAAACAAATTGAACGAAAAGACACTTCTACACTTCATATACTTGAAATAATAACAAAGAACCGTCTAATAAAAAAATTCAATTATATGTTGATTATAGCAACTTTCTTTTATAATGACATTGAGATCAAATGTTCCAATCCTTTTTAAACAAATTTGACCAAACATATCTTTGCATAAAGATTGCTATCCATATATAGAGAGAGATGAGCGATCAAATGAAAACCACTTCAATTTGTAAAAATCGTAAAAACTACTCTCATCCGTCTTAATCTTATGAATTTTTTTCATGAAATTGTTTCATATAATACTTTTTTTGATGAAGTTGTTTCATATATGGTTATGAAATTGTTTCATATACTACTTAATGAAATTTTAATGAAACTGTTTCATGTATTTCTCTAAAATTAAAATAATAAAGATGATAATATCCATGATTAACATCCTCCACAATAAAAAATGATTAATCAACCTCTCATAATTACAAAAAAAATAAACAAAATAAAAAATTATGATTGGTGGAATGAGGTTTTTACGATTTTTACAAATTGAGTGGTTTTCATTTGATCGCTCCCTATATATATATATAGAGAGAGAGTTTGTTTCAAATACAATCCATCGCATATATATATATATATATATATATATATATATATATATATAGTTGGGTTCACGTGAGACCAAAGGTTTTTCGTGAGACCCGTAAGACCAATTGTCAACCCTTAATATACTACAAAATATAAACATCAACCTTAATACACTGTATTCTTCTTATATGTCCCAACCAGAATCCTTAATAATCGGAAACAACCACTTTACCCTTTGGGGTTAACACTAAAGACCAGATATCTCACCCCTTCAGATCCTACTTTCAAGCATGATATATTGGTTTTATTTTATATATCAGTGTTTCATTTATTTCAAAGTAAAATCAAATTTAAACAAGAACATGATGGCAAGTTTAGATGCCAATGTACAGAAAGCCAACAGCTTGGATCAACAAAAACCTTTTGGAGAATAGTTTCAGAAGCTAACCCCACTTAGACCTGTTAAAACAAGTGTATGTAGTATCCAATGACGGACCCAGAATTTTTAAATTTTTTGGTTGATTTCAATGGACTTTTTCCGTTTTTTGGTTGATGTTCCTTGTACCCTTTAATATCCGAGAGCACTCTTCAAAGTTTAGTGGGTGCACCTTTCATACCCTTAAAAATATTCTACTTACACGAGACCCTGCTTGGGGCTTAATACGTCCTCCCCTGGTAGTATTTGATATCTTTACAGAACTTGGGTACTCATGAAACGGGCGTTTATTAACTTAAACAAGTATAATGACAGATGAAGTAAAACAAAATGGACATCTTTGAAATCTGAATTTCCATCAAGGTCCAAAATCAAACATTTGGGGGTGGGTCCAATGTCATGAAAACTATGATCCAGTTTATATCAAAATCATGGTTTGAGAGGTCAAGGGGAACACTAGATCAACAATGGCCCTCTTCAAGTAAGAAATCTCAATAAAACCCGGGGGTCACTGCTGCCTGTTATCAGCCTCCTCCTCCCCAAAACCACGTTGCGCGATTCTGTAATACAGAATACCCATTGTTGCCAAGCATGCCCTGCATCAAATTACTAATTGCATAAGCTAAAAAGGGTGATCGTTTGGTACCTCCATACATACATATATATATATATATATATAGAGAGAGAGAGAGAGAGAGAGAGAGAGTGGATTCATTTGAGAACGGTAAATATTTTGAGAACCGATGAACCAATGAATATTCAAAATGTATTACATAAATATTCATGATACTCGTTGGCTCATCATGAGTATTAATGTAATTCCTTACGAATATTCCTTGGTTACTCTGTTCTCAAAATATTTACGGTTCTCAAATGAACTTTCCTTTGTATATATGAAATGTAGCTGAGAGATAGAGAGAAGTAATCAATGATTGATGCCATTAACAGACTTATAGAAATGAGCTTTATACCAAATGTAAAAAGGAGCAGGAGATGTTACATGATTGCTATGACAAGAAGTATTTTTCTTGGATCCATCCTTGATGGTCTATGGTGCCGCGTATGGGACTCATCTGCATTTGCATCTTTTTTAGGAGGTGCAGTTACTGGTAAAGTTGGCAAAGCACTTGACCAGAAAGGTAGCAATGACCTCAGAAACTTGTGCCGGAAACTACCTACAATCATATTAACTTACTCATTTCCCAACTTAAGAAAACCGAAGCAGAAGCAGAAACAGGAAAACTATAAAAGAATATACAAGAATAACAGTCCTTTACATAATACATGCATATAATTAAATAATATCATTTTTTTTTTGTCTTAGCTACCTTATTATATTTGTTTGTTTGTCTTGAGGGTAGGGGTGGGGATGGGTAGGGGAGGAGAAAGAGTCTTGGAGCAACTAGCAAGGTTACTCCTTCGTGATTGAAAGGTCACAGGTTCGACTCCTGCAGATCTCAAGGGAAAGGAGCCAAAGAGCCTTGGTGCATTAAATCGAATTTAACTGAATGCTTGACTGAGGTATGAAAATCAAAAAGAAACTCCTACTAAAAGTTTGACGTGTTGGTTTGCAGAACTTATAAAGTAGTGATAATAAGTGACTTTCACTTTCTATTTGTTTTATGTACCCTTTTTGCAAGCCAGGGCTCTCCTCGATAACAGACTCTGTCTCGAGACAGAAGGTAAAGTCTGCATACATCCTACAGGACCTACCCCCCAAGACCCCACGTTCGGGTGGGATATATGGGGTATGATTGGTTTGGCTTTATAATGTAGTAATAAGATGCAATGATCAATAATCCAAGCGGATGGTTTTCTTCTTCCTAAAGAAGCATAGTGCAGCCGTTTGTTTTCTAACGAAGTGTATAAACAAGATAATGCAATTGCTATAACATGTACTCAGTATCCTGCTCACCCCTTCGTGTGTACTTCCTCCTATTAGCATCTTCATCATCTGCATAATAAGACAGTTCAGAGGTTTGTCTTTCTCCTTGTGGAGTACCCTTTCTCGTGGTAGCACCAGACTGCATTGCATTGCCAAAGATATATAAGAGAGCAACTCAAGACGCACCAAATGTTTCCATAAATTACTTATACGTACCAAAGGGTCACTAGCCCAGCGGCACCCGGGTTACTGGTAGACCCAGCTTTTCAGGAGGTCTAAAGGTTCAAAACTCGCCAAAAGTGAGGAGTGTGTGTGTGAGTATTTGCCTTATACATATATTATATATTTCAAAAAGAAAATTACTTACACCAGAAGTTGGACTTTTCGAGAAGTTGGCCTCATGATTAGATAAAGATTGGTTTGCTGAACCAGGACTGTCTATCTCCACAATATCAACGCGCAACGGTTTAGCAGAACCATTTCCAGATGCACCTTTTGGTCTTAATGGATCTGAGGCAAAAGCAGGAGGTGGTCCATGAGAAGATTTGGGTGGTGATGAAACTGGATGATTTCCAAACAAGTTCTTCTCAATTCCACTCTGCAAAACAAAAGGTAACAGTTTGCATGGACAAGGAACTTGATCAGCAAACTTGCATTAAATCCATCAAGGTTAATAAGGACCATTCTCTAGGCTACTAACTGACTAATGCGTTAGAAGCATAAATGTTTCAGGGGAGGGGGGGAGGGGAACTTTAGGGCACCTTACAATATGAGCTTCTATCTTCAATATATACAGTTATTAGTTCCTATATGGAATTGATGTAGGGCCTCATATTTCTTAATTGAGGTGAAGATCTTTGGATCTATCCCCCAACGCCACCACAAAGAAAAAACATATGATTTGTAGAATGTAGAATGTCTGGTACAGGAAGTAGTTCTTTCATATAACAAATCCAGTGAATGACAATCAAGAATTTTACGAACCACTTATCATATTAATCATAAAAGAAGTTGAGGATATAGGGGAGGTTGAGCACTGAAATACCCAGTCTTTATAAATGTGATATAAACATGCATGAAAGTTTCTGGAATAGATAATTGAAGAGGGCCAAAAAGTAAATGAAGCAACACTCTCTGTTTCATGTGACATACTTGCAAGTTGTAACTGTAAGAATAATGGCCACTTCAATTGATTTCATAGTCCTAAGTAAATCCAACTAGTTTATTAGTCCCCATCACATATGGGAATTTCCATGGAAAAGGAAGAAATCTAAATTGGAGTTGGGATGCGGCAGCTTAAAATGCCAGGCCTACAAAAGAGTAAAAGTATGTATGATGTTTTTTTCTCTGTGACGATGGTGTCCAACCTTTGATAGACAGGGTCCAAGACCACCATCACATACACTAGAATGGCATGGCCCACAACAAGAGGTGACAGCACCAAGAGGCTCAAACCTAGGTCTCCCACTCTATGGTGAAAGTACCCAAGTTGTTTTGCCAACTTGGCCACCCATTGGAGGGTAAAAACCAGAGGAAATAATTATAATAATATTTATGATAAAGAGTCTAGATAAACGTCTGAAATTTTATGGAACACAAACCTCTCAAAGATAATCTAGCATAAAGAGAAGATAACAAAAACATAGAGAATGGTCAAATTTAACTCAAAGAAAGTGCCAAGGCAGGTTCAACATTTTAGACTTGTACCGTTGTACGATACATTGCACATACAGATTGTAATGTTTCTTCCATGCATCGCTAACAACTGAAAACACAAAGTACTTTTGTAGATAACCCACATAATAAAAGTTTGTATATATGGCATGAAATCATAACAATCCACAATTTGTAGAGCACAATAAGCTGAACCCCTATCTTATATTTACAGTGGTAGCATAACGGGGGATGATCAACAATTTAAAGTGATCATCATCTGCTTCGGTAGCTTGAAACTATCGATAACGATAAACTAGACCACAAAGACGGTGAAGAGTAAAGGATACCTATTTTAGAACTCTATATATAGGGAAACAAGAACACCCTTTTACTATAGTGAATCACGTAAATCAGACATTGCCGACCTAGGTCGCAGGCCAAGTCACCCACCACCACTTCTCCTCAAGTCCTCATGTGCATTATCACAGGTGATCAACTGTAGTAAAAGGGTGTCTCGCGTTTTCACAAAATGAAAGTGTTCTTGTTTGAACCTTCACTTATATATAAAGCTTACAGCTAGTGAGCCAGATAACTAGCAATGCTTGTATATTCACATGGAACAATGGTCCCAAGGTTCTAAACCCTCCCGTGTTTTCTCTCATCCCGAGAGTAGACTGGTTCTTACTTCTTAGTTGTAAGAAGCACAACCATTACTTCTTAGATCTCCTTCTCGCCACTCAATTACATTTGCTGTCAGGCATGCTGACTTCTTACTGGAGACCACCCAATTGAGGGAAAGGCTGCATTGCTGGATAAAAGGTCAATCGTATATGTGCTAATTATATACTTGTCAGAACAGAGTAATTAACCAATTCTAAGTGCACTGAATCATTCAATATCATTGAGATGTTATGCATGGATTGGAATAGGTTCATTTCTCTCTTTCCAGATGCATTTTTGACAATATCAATCCACTCATATTCTGGTAAATCATACTGGATACTATAGCAAAGCTGATATCTCAAGCCCTACTAGCAATCAGTTTCATACTTTATGCTACATACTCCTACATTCAAGCTCGCCATCTTATAAGCTTGGTAGTTGATACCTTATGGTACATGCATGGGTTTCATTTAGACTAACATACAGTTTGAAACGTTAGAAGCACATACGGCAGATCAGCTTCCTCTACCTAGGTAAATCAAATAAAAATAAAGCAACTCATGTGAAATTATCCTTGCACCTCAGATAACTCCAGAAAACATTCTTCTCAGAGGCAAGTTGAAAGCTTACAATAAATGGTAAAACCTACAGATTTTACTTCCATCTTCAACCATGCATAACACATAAACAAAACGCAGAACAGAAAATCAATGTCACAACTACACCAGGTGCACCTATCCTAGTTCTCTGTATTCAATCGATTTCTCAAATGGTTAACATGTCCATAACTTTTGTAGAACATTATATATAGCCCAAGAATGCTACAGAAAGTAGGATAGTTAAAGAAAATATCCAGCAGGCATGATCTAGCACGCCAGAAACGATTTTGCTATCTATAAAAGCAGCAAAAGATGTAAAGAGAATTCTAAATAAAGATCTACGGCAGATGTTGACATCAAGATTCCATAAAATTTCTTGTGCAGATGATCTACAGTTCAGTGAGGCAAAAAAAAAAATCACTGTACATGAATTGCAATCAAACAAATAGTTCAATTGTCACCTGCATAATTGCTTCCTTCAACTGTGAATGCAGACGGGACCCTGAGTTTTTTACACTTTTAGGAGGCCATATCTGCGAAGACAAAGTCATGGTTCATAATTAGCCATTAGCTAGAAGCCCACAACTAAGCTAGGATAGACAATCTGTATATTCCTTAAACTCGTTTATTTGTTTTTGGTTCCATGCTTCCTAGCAGTTTAAAGAGAAATAAAACTAAAATCCTCCCTTTTTTCCCTCTGAAACCTGATGGGAACAGGTATAATGTTTACCATGTGTATTCAGTGTGGGTTTAACCTGAGCTCATGTCAATAAACCAACATGCGGCTTAACTATTAAAGCCTTTTACAGGTATTTCCTAACTAGAAAAGAGGAGCATTCTTAACAATTAACAACATTTTTTCAAAAAGAACCAACTCAGGATTATTTAAGCATGTAACAAGCTGCAAAACCAGAATCGTGGATCTTACTGGAGTTGAACATGCTGGACAAATATATCCAGCTGGAGCAGTATTTGGAGGAAAACTTTTAATATGTGAAACTAAGCAACTTGTATGTACAATATCTGGAAAATGCAGAGAAGACAGAAAGAATAAGTAATATGATGTATTTCAACAGTACACCTATCGAGTACTGATAGAAGATGCATATCAAAAAGTTTAAGTTCAATATAACATACGCAAGCAACCTAGACGTGTTGTTTGAGGATCAGTGCTCTCTTCAAGAACTGCTTGGCACTGGCAACACTTGGTAGGCCAGTCATACTCTCCATCAATTACCCACTCTGAGTACGTGCCAACCTACAAAATAAGCCAAATAGTTTCAACCAAATGACATGACATGTATGCCCAGCAGCTCATTTAACCAGCACAACACACAAGTGATTACAACATACCACGCAAATTTGGTGCTCCTGGAAACATATGCATTCTCCACAAACAGGGACCTTGTGCACGAAGCAGTATAATTTTGTTGCCTGTTACCATAATATCCACTTTGGTTAGTTCTCAACCATAGCAACAAACGAGTTAAAATCATCCACAATAACCTCTCTGCAGCTTCACATATCGTGAATTTATTGTACAAAGATACTCCATCAAGCATTATATAGGCATCTTCTAAAATAGGAATATATAGTCCCAATTAACAGCAATGCCGAATAGAAATTCAGTAGTTCGGTCTGATGTAAAAAGCTCACATCATAACTAAAAAGCTACATTGAAATCAGTTTCGCGAAAACAAACCTAACAAAATACATTAAACGCGATATGAAGGACGTGAGAAGGCATACCTTTCGACACTTGCAGACCACCATTGCATTGAGTGGGAGTGATTATGCATCTGAAAACCTAAATTGGAAAACTTCCATTAGAGGTTAAATATGAATTGGGATAGAGAATATAGGTAAATTTATGAATGAGCAAATAATTGTGGTTAAATTTATATAGGGTCTGAGGTGAAAACAAGAGATCTGTGAAGAATGATGATGAATTGTAGAAGAGATTCTTTGTCTGGAAATCGTATGCTTGAGTGTAATAATATTCCTTGTGATCCTACGTAAACGACCTCGCCCCATTCCTCAAGCTCCGATCCAAAATCCAAATATATACTTTGCCTTGGGGAAAAAAAAGGGTAATTTTTAGTCAAATTTTTGAAAAATCAGAAGGTTATTCGTGTAATACAGTAATATATATCTCGATTTTAATATTTTATTTTATTATTTGTCTCTAAGGTTGTAAACGAACCTAACGTTTAATGAACCGTTCGAAGGAAAGTTCGTTTATTTAATAAATGAATAAACGAACATTAACAAGAGTCGTGTTTGTTCATTTATGTTCGTGAACGTTCTTTCATTTATCGTTCGTTTATGTTCGTTTATATATTAAATTTAATGTATAATCTTTTATTTATTTACATTGAATTCAAATGATATTTATTTATATTCGTTTAGCCCTTCGTTTATGTTCGCTTAGCCATTCGTTTATGTTCGTTTGTTTACGTTCGTTTAACATGTTAACGAACGTACACGAACACAAGGATTTTCGTTTGTTTACCGTTCGCGTTCATTCATTTGTTAGGTCAAGTTAAACGAACGAACATGAACAAGCCTCTGTTCGTGTTTGTTTACAACCCTATTTGTCTCTATCAATATAATACGATTTTATTTGGTTTTGAGAAATCAATAATGTTTTTATTTTTTAATGAAATATAAATTTGAATGTATCAAAAATTTTGAAAAAAAAAATGTATTTTTTTTTTTGTGTAATTTCTTTAAATTTAGGTTTTAGCAACAAAGTAATTTATGTTTGGTTTAATAATAGAATTTTTTACAAAGATGATAATTAAGTATTTTGTTAGAACTCAATAATTATTCTAATTATATTTTAGGTTTTTATATTTAAAATGAGATGTTTATCTTGTATTTGATTACGTTTATATCTAAAATAAAATATTTATCATGTATTTGATTATGTTTATCTGCAATTAATTACACAAATTCAAAAATTGAAGTTTTAATAAGTTGTAATTACGCACAATTTACTTGTAATCTAGAATTTTAAGTAATTTACATCAATAAACAGTATTTTATGCATAAAAAATGGTTTAAGAGTTTTTATCAAATATTTATAATATAATACTACAATTTTAAGTAATTTATATCAATAAACATTATTTTATGCATAAAAAATGGTTTTAAGAATTTTTATCAAATACTTTATAATATAGTATAGATATAGTAAAAATTTCTTTTTTCTCATAAATATTTATTTTCGATTCATATTATTGATAAGAAAATAAATTAGAATATTAGTTATTTCTCCATTATATAGTTTAGAGATTTTTTTAAATGGCAAATTGCATGAAAAATTAACGTATTTTAACTTGATTTTTATTTTGGGTAACGTACTTTCAAAACTTTCATTTTGGTACCTAAGATGTAAAGTTTTAAACATTTAAGTATCCTGGTAACTGGTTGAAGTATTAACCGGTTATCATACTGATGTGACGAGTGATGTGGTATCCAACTCGGTATTATTTGTTGACCTAGTCAGTGACGTGGATTTTTTTTAATCTAAAATTAGTCTTTTTTTTAGTCTAAAATTAGTCTTCACTGGGTTACCCGGGTACTTAAATGTTTGAAACTTTACATCTTATGTACCAAAATGGAAGTTTTGAAAGTACGTTACCCAAAATAGGAATCAAGTTAAAGTACGTTACTTTTTCATACAATTTGCCATTCTCTAAAGCAGCGTTTCAATAAACTAGCTACATTTTGACCATCCAAACGAGTTTTCAAAATAAGCTCGAAAAATGAACTAGTTTATATTTGTCAAACACAACCTAAATTTATAGATTTATAGATTTTCTCTCTTATTTTTTCCATTTTACCATACAATATAGCATAGTTATTGCATGACACAAAACTTTTTAAAATTATCGTAAATTCTATTATAGCATAGTTGTTGGAGATGCTTTAAGTTTTAATGGGAAAGTCACCACATTAATTGGTAGTTTAATGTGAAAACATCTTAATGAAACACTGCAAATAACTTGGCATGTCTTGAAACCAACTTTGACTTCGACCACCGTTGATCTGAATCACCTCTGACTACCGTCATCTAAACAGCCACCGACCATCACCATTTGAACCACCGCGCATCACCGCCATCTGAACCACCATGGACCGCCATCAACTTGAACCAATGTCGACCATTGCCATCTGAACCACCATAGACCACCATCGATCTGAACCACCGCCAACTACTACCGATCTGAATCACCATCGACCACCGCCGATCTGAACCACATTCGATCACCGCCACCTGAAGCACTACGGACCACCACCAATCTGAACCACTGTCGACCACTAGTGACTACCACCAATTTGAATCACCGTCAAACACCGCTGACCACCACCGATCCGAACCACCGCTGACTACCTCCATCTGAACCACCGTGGACCACCATTGATCTGAACCACTGCTGACCACCGCCATCTAAACCATTGCAGACCACCACCGATTTGAACCATCGTTGACCACCAGCGGTCTGAACCACCGTTGATTTAGTAACGTCGTTTTGCTTATGGTTATATTTAGGTTGTGTAATTTATATTTATCTGCATATTAAATAATTATTCTATTAAAGTATTTTCGATTTAAAAATAAATTTTTTTTTAAATGGCATTTTGGTCATTTGTCAATATTTAATTACAATTCCAATGCTACATTCTGTGAATCAAACAAACATATTTCAATTTTTTAACAGATCTCATTCCAATGTCTGTCAACCAAACATGTGGTCAAACCTGACAACATTCCATTCCAATTCCTTCAAAGTCAAATTCATTAAACAAGTTTCATTCAATCCAAAAACATTATGCGAACCAAACTCCATCTCAGAGTATTGTATGGGTCAATTATATCTCTATTTCATCAATAACCAAGTATAAAGATACCTCGAAACATGTACCATGTAGTGTTGCATCTCTCTTTTATCATTCGACATAATAAATGGGCACTTAAGGTTAATGTACTACTCCATCTCTTTCTTCAAGATTGACATCTCTATTGGTTTCCCTACACTCAAGACTCGCAAATTACACGATACTTAAGTCACCTACACAGCTCGTTTACGTCCATCGTCTTTGCAACTTTGGGACATGACTTCACACAAGCCGCTTGCATTGTACTGAAACATGCCCACTGCATCCTTCGGCTAGACTTAGGTGGTGTTTGTTTTTTAAGAGGTGCTGAAGTCTGAAGTCTGAATTCACTTCTGAATTTTAAGAGGTGGTGCTGAAGTCTGAAATCTGAATCAGTCAGACTGTTTGTTTTTACGTCTGAAATCTGAAATCTGAATCAGTCAGACTGTTTGTTTTTACGTCTGAAATCTGAAACCAAAGAGAGATCGAGAAGATTACCAAAACACAAGCTTGAATCTGCGATGTATGAAGAACACCAGCTTCAATCGATGAATGGGACGAGAGAGGATGAGAGCGACGTAAAGGAGGCGGATGAGAGCGACGTAAGGAGGCGGATAAACAAATAAGAGGTATTAAGAGCTAGGGTTACCACTTAAAAATTCAGAGGAAACCTTATGAATTCAGCTCTTAATTTGAGGGAAAAAACAAACGATCTGAAAGTCTATATGTCTGACCGATTCAGACATAAGAAGAAATTAAGAGACAAATTTTAAAAAACAAACAGGCCCTTACACATAAAGAATTTGTTTCTAATCCAAAATTTCTCATCCCCATTTGCACTACATTACACATAACACACATGTCTCCCATATGAGTATAACGTACGTACTAAACAACATTTAGTTCAAAGTTTGAGTCTCAAACAATTGACTTTTCTCTGTATTCATGAAGTAACCACCAATAAAGTCAACCAGTGGTCTTAAAGCCTCTATATCAACTCCATTCTTACACGACACACTTCTGAAACCTCAAATGCTATTAAACAAGTAACTTAATACAAGTTTGGTGTTGAAACTCACCTCAAATCGTAAAAAATGCTTATAGAACTTCAAGCCATTTTGCGATCCCTTTCTCTCTCTCGATCGAAATTCACTTGTTTCGGACAATACGCGTGGATTTTCTTTGTAACTTCAACACTAAATGAATGTCACTTTCTTTCCTTCATTTTCATGCTTAAACAAGCATCAAATGTGTTCCCAACCGTTATCGCTCAAAGCAACATTTTCATCTCACGACCTATTCGCATGTTTTGCCAAATGACAAAACATGCCCTAATACCTTCCAAGGTAGATTTTCCACCCTTCGAACTTCCAACTCCTGTGCTACACATTCAGTTCGTGTCTTTCACTTTCTATTTCGTTTTAATATGAACTCAACAATCTCAACATGGCTTTCGTACTCTAGCTTTCAACATACCCACTTACATATTTGTGGCGTATTATCAATTTCGTCTTCAGTTTTATACATTCGAAATAAAATTGAATATTTAATTGAAAAATAAAAGAAAATTTTATAGTCATGTATGCTAGTGTATGTCCATTGGTCTACCATTCATAACAATTCCATGCAATTTGTTAGAGGTTAGAACAACATCCATGGCAATGTTGGTGGTAGCATTCAATATTTTCACATGGTTTGAGATAATGTGGGTACAATAAACCACATCAAATCATACCCATAAAATTTAGACCAAATTTTATAACCAAATCCCTAAATTTTAAGTCATAATTCATATCAAAATTCACAATTTAAATATATCAGAATTTTTCAGAGTCAAATTCTTTTGATAAATTTCAATTATACCGAATCTCATTATGCAAACTAAACGCTCCTTTCAAATGACCATTTTGAGGGGGTGTGAGGGGTGGGGAATATGAAATAATGTAACTGAAAATGTTTAGAATAAACTAATTACCGATGAATCTGTGATTAGTTTGATATTATGGAATAAATTATTAATGTTGATGAGATAATGAACTGTTCACCATTAAATTATAGGGAACAACTGATAGCCATTTTCATTTTCATTCTTATTCCTTAAAAAATCAAGAAGCATTTCGATAAAGAAAAATAATGAATTGTTTACAGATAATTTAGGGGTTTTTTATAAAAAAATGGGGCAATTGTTAAGACCGTAAGACGCCTTGATTGGGGTAAGCAAACCTATGCATTCTTATAGGGTCAACATATAAGTCAACGATATTTATTGGTGTTGAACTGATGATAAACAATGTTATGGAGCTATTTACTTATAATTTAATGAGCTTAATGGTTTAGATAACTTATTCACTCATTCATACAAAGAATGTTTCTTCACGGCTTAATCGTTAAGCCATGTAGCAAAAAACGACTACATGGAATAACCCATGACCCCCTCACTTGTCTCTATTAAGCTACATCAAACAGATTAATACTAGAAATACCCTAAAAATAACTCGACCGTTTCTTTGCCTCTCTCAAACCCCTCGGTCTCTCATCCTTCGGACAAAAAAAGTTATTCAAACAAACAACTTAATTCATAGAAGAGTGACATGACTTTAATGAAAAAGAGTAAACGACCCTATATCTTACCCAATAAGCACACCACTTATCCGGTACCAGATAAACACTTGTTGGACTAATTGGCCCATTAAGTAAGCCCAACAGCCCGTAAAGATCCCAAACGGAAAGGAGGTGGGAAATTGGGATCGAATCGATGACCAAAAAATTTGAATTCAAACCCCTCAAGAGTGAAATCTAACAACAATTTCAAACCCCAAATTCAAATCCCCCCGTCCCTCCTCTTTCTCTACACATACCAAAGCTCGATCTGAACCCTAGATAATTTCCTCCGATCATCGAATTCAAATGGCAGCGGTGCCACCGGTCCGCGGCAGGGAACTATCTAATCCTCCTTCCGACGGCATCTCCAACCTCCGTTTCTCTCATCACTCTGATCATCTACTCGTATCTTCTTGGGACAAAGTATGCATTTACTTCTCCATCTATGTATTTCTTTAACGAAAATCGAAGCTATCCAACTCGAGCGCTTCTTTATTAATTTTTTTTCTGAACTGCATCCCGATAAATGTTTCTCTTACGTTTTTTGCTGTCTCATGATGAATCATACACTCCCCCCCTCTAAAATTTTGATCATATACTCATAAGTGCAAATGGTAAGATGTATTTGTTGTAGTTTGAAGGGTATCACTTGTTTGGTACCTAGGGAGCACATATATGTATGTAAGCGATTTAATCATGCCTTTTCTCTTCCAATAAAAGAGCCACAAAATCACCTACTTTCCAACCTTGAAATTGATACCACATTCGTTTGCAGTAATAAACGTGAGCATTATTAGTTTTTAGTACTTGATGATATTTAACAGCAGGTAGCTATTTTTCTTGAAATTTAAAATTTATATCATTTTTGAGGCGTCAAATATCATGCTGTTTGATAACAACACTATTTTGGAACTGGAGGGAGTAATTTAAATAGAACAGTGCCTACAATACAAATTTCTGATAGTGTTTGAATGCACCTGTTTCTCTGTACACATGCATTCATGCAAGCTTAACTCACATCAGGTTATTGGTGATTAAGTTTAAAATGTATGGTGTTTTTTGTGACAGAGTGTTCGATTGTATGATGCCAGCGAGAATATTCTGAGAGGAGAGTTTATACATGGAGGTGCGGTCCTTGATTGTTGCTTTCATGATGATAATTCTGGTTTCAGTGCCAGTGCCGATAATACTGTGAGGAGGTGAGCAGGAATGTTATATTAAAATTCATATTACTGATTTACTGCTATGTTATTAATCCAAATTATTGTCTAACCAGCGCTGGTTCGATATCTAAATTGCGATACGTAGTTGCAATTAATCTACGACTTAGACATGAAAGTTGGGAAGAAAATTTATTTTGCCAAAACAAAATAAAGAGATCCAATATTTGTGAAATTTTCCGTGCTTAGACTGAGTTATGGGTTAGAAGTGCAGCTTTTGTATTCCAATGTACTGTCATTAATGAGCTCGAGTTTTCCATTTAAGCACTTTACATGGTTTGTGCCCAGAATTTGGATATTACACTCCCATGCCTTGTACTAATATGAAAAGCATCCCTTTCAATTAATTTGTTCTTTAGAGGGCTATGGTGACTGATTAGTTGCTAAAAGATTTAACCTATGCCAACCATCAAACTTGCTGTAAATTCTATTTCTCAAAAATGAAGCAGAGTTAATGCAAACACACACACTCTCTCTCTCTCTCTCTCTCTCTTTCCATAACCACAGCATCTCTTTTCAATATGGAAAAACTTGTTTGTTTGGTCTTTGATGGTTGCTATTTCTACTACATATTAGTACTAGGGAAAATATGTGAACTTATTCAGGGACATTCTGTTCCATAAAAACGATAGCATGTTAAACATGCAATCATGAATTATGATTGCATGCTGAATTTTGAGCTTGAGCCAACTGGCAACTGAAGTAGGGAAATCTGTATGTTCAAGTGGAAATTGGGTAGAAAGAAAAATTGCCTATTATCTGGCTACAAGGGGAAATCAAAAGCCTACATAAATCACACTCATCTGTACTTGCATGAATTTTCAAGTATAAATATAGCAATTTTCCATGTCATAGACGTTCTCCTGTAGTCCTGTATCATGTCCGGCTTCATTGTTCTCTCTAAGCAATGCAATTTAATCATAATTCATGTTTTGCCTGATTTTGTTTACAAATAACTGTTAATTTGTTTGTGCACCTCCAACGTGTCTCATGCCTTGTGTGGCTGATCATCCTCTTGACCCAGCTACTGATCATTGTCAATCTCCATTTGTAAGTTTTCACTTTTTTAAGATCAGTAGGCTTTTGATTATCTTATTACTTCCAGTTATTTACACTGATCATTCAATCCTATCTGGTTGTGAATTTTGTGGTTTATAATTCCTAGAAGTATATGGTTTACTTTGATGACCTTATTATTTATATAATTGTGGAAGATCTGTAATTTTTATCATGTTTTCACTGGAAAAAATTTCTGATTGTATCTCAGGCTTGTTTTCAACTATGAGAGGGAGGATGTTCTTGGACGCCATGATGCCCCTGTTCGTTGTATTGAATACTCTTACGCAACAGGTTGTTTTAGGTTGCCATTGTTACTGATATTTCGACAGTTTTTATGGTCTAAGTTGACATAGTTGTAATTGTGTTCCTAATTACTGATGTGGGTGTCTTTCTTGTTGCTGTTGTTGGTGAGTCGTGAAAATTAAATCAAGAAACTGGAGGTTGCCATGATAAAAAAATGTAAGCATTAATGCTCAGGGATGGTGTTCCATGCAAAAGAAAACTCCACTAGGATATATTTGAGGTGACATCCTGCACCTTATGATGCGATATAAATCATAAATGGCATTATAGACGATTCTTTAGATTATGTTTACTGTTAAAAGGCAAATCCCTGTGGTAAGCTATATATATATATATATATAGAGAGAGAGAGAGAGAGAGAGAGAGAGGGAGGTTCATTTAGGAACCTTAAATATTTTACAAACTCAGGAACCACCATTTTTGTGAGTATTCATGATGAATAATGTGATAAAATATGCATATGAATGTCATGACCGATATTCCTGATGAATAATATTCATCATGAATACTCACAAAAAAAGTGGTTCCCAGGTTCCTAAATGAATTTGCCCCTGTATATACAGTTCCTTGGTGACTAAATCTTTTGTCATTCATCCTTCCAAGCTTAAAACTTAGGCTGTATCCATATATCTTAAACAAGTACACAACCAGTGAAATTTCATCAATAAGAAGTACTAATTAAATATATAAACAAGGAGTCTTCATGTGGTGTTACTGAGGGGTAGCTGTTGTTCACTTGATCATGTGAAATCATCAGATCAAATAAAATGATTATAATATTTCCTTGGCTAGATTGGTATATATTTAAATGGATCGACTAATTTTGGGGCCACCAGGCCAGCATAGGCGCATGTAGTAAGGTTACTCCCTTGTGACAGGAAAGTCATGGAAGCAAACTCGTTGCATTATGCAGTGAAAAGGTTGCATACAAAGATATCCCTCAACTCCCAACGAAGCTGGAAAATAGCCTTGTGCTCCAGGAATGGATCTATTAATTTGTTTTCTCAACAATCATCCAGTAATAACACATAGGAGAGCTCTATTATATGTTATAATTTAAAGAGGAATGTTAAATTTTTTTACCTTCTGTTCTCACTTGCCAGGACAAGTGATCACTGGCAGTTGGGACAAAACCCTGAAGTGTTGGGATCCAAGAGGTGCTAGTGCACAGGAGCGTGCTCTAGTTGGGACATATGCTCAACCTGAACGTGTCTATTCTCTGTCCCTTGTTGGCAACCGTTTGGTGGTGGCAACTGCTGGGCGGCATGTTAATGTCTATGACTTGAGGAATATGTCTCAACCCGAACAGCGAAGGGAATCTTCCTTGAAATACCAAACTAGATGTGTGCGGTGCTACCCCAATGGAACAGGTATTGCTCCTGAACTTCTTCACCAAAATCATTTCTGTTCACCAGGTGTTTCTTTGTTAATTGCTAGCAGACTGAAAATATGTTGAAGTTTATCCAATGCTGACTTTGTTTGTGAAAACATAAAAATGCCTTTAATCTCTTTCTTAACCCCATTCAAAGAATTTTCCATTAGCACTGAAGAAACTTGTTGAAGTATCTGCACTCTCAGAATGTAGTCAGACTTTGTTGTATTGATTGTATACTACATACACAGTGGTTTGCTTTTTATGCTTGATATTGTATTAATAGCACATAAGAAAGTTACTTTGAAGTGCCACTGGTTTTTGTGCTTATTTTTTATCTTGTATGTATCTTCTTATTCTAGTTGAACCATGATCATGACGTGCAGGTTATGCTCTTAGCTCTGTGGAAGGTCGTGTTGCAATGGAATTTTTTGATCTTTCTGAGGCTGGTCAATCCAAAAAGTATGCATCAATATGAATTATCAAATGAACAATGGCTTCAATTTTTTTCCTGCTTATGGCTATAACCCTATGCTTCTACTTTAATTTACCTTTTTCTCAACTTTGCTGGGGAAAGTTTAACTGAAGCACACCCTAGTGCACTTGGTATCTTCCAAGTGGACCTGTACTGGACCTATGATCAATGCATATAGTTTAGTGGTATCATTGACCTGTACTGGGCCTATGTAGTTTGTTTGTTCTAATCCTGATTTTCTAGTAAGATTTATTTGGTCATGCGACCTAGTTTGTTCCAACATGAATTATTGGGCAACAGAGTTTTATTGTATCACAGACCTTATTATGTGTTCTTCGTGCTTTTCATGATTTATCTATGCACAATGTTGCCTTTCAACCACCTTTTTTTTATCGTCGATGCCTTATGCTTTCTTCAGGTATGCATTCAAGTGTCACCGGAAATCAGAAGCTGGAAGAGACATTGTGTACCCTGTAAACGCCATCGCATTTCACCCTGTGTAAGCTATATGGTTACTCAATTTACCTTGTTATAAATTTATAATCAAATGAGCTGAATGTTTGTTTTTTACCTCCCCAAAAATGCATCAATTGGTAATCTGGCACGATTAATATTCTGAATTGATACTCTAGGGTGTAAGATCTCATTTTGTTCCAGAGTTCTTGGGCAAATTTCACTTGTGAGGCTGATATAGAGAAGATGCTACTTGCCTGTATTTTAGTCTATGGACCCTTAAAGATTGTCTTTATTTATTCACTTTTCTTACTTGGAAAATACACTCATTTTCATGTCACAAACTCTGAGGCGCTAAATTTCAGGAAAAAAAAAATAATCGTTATTGGCACATACCACAGTCATGAAAACAATTGTTCTACTCTCTTTGGGACAGAGATTAAGTCTGCATAGATCTTACCCTCCCCAGACCCAACCTCTAGGTGGTATATATTGGGTTTGTTTGGCTTGGTTTGGTTTTGGCACACACCACATACCTTCTACTCTGATATGGTAATGGTATCTCATCGACAAAACACAACCTGCAGCTATGGCACATTTGCAACAGGCGGTTGTGATGGTTTTGTCAATGTATGGGACGGGAACAACAAAAAGAGGCTGTATCAGGTACATTTTATAATACATATGTTCTTGAATTTTTGTTGGTCAAATACATGTTCAAGATTCTGATTTTGCGGTCTGTCTTCAGTACACGAAGTACCCTACAAGCATCGCAGCCTTATCCTTCAGCAGAGATGGTCGACTATTGGCTGTTGCATCCAGTTATACATTCGAAGAGGGTGACAAACCGTAAGAGAACCTTTTTTTTCTTCCTATTTGACCTCTTTTCCTTGGGTTTTATCATGGGATCAATTTGCTTATATTCGTGCTCATCTTTCAGTCATGAACCGGATGCCATCTTTGTGCGAAGCGTAAACGAAGTTGAAGTGAAGCCAAAGCCAAAAGTTTACCCAAATCCTGCCACATAAAATGGGAAGAATATGGAAGAAAGGCTGGTTTGTTGAATAGTAGGAGTATGTACTGAGATTGTGGACTGCTGGCCTGATTTGAATGTATGTTATCATCTTGTCGTGCAAAATATCTTTGCAAAATGATGACGGTAAAGTGCATTCAAGTTAAAGGCTGCTGCTATTAATCAAGATGTTTGATATTTGATGTTTGTGTGCAATTGCTGCTGCTTCTTGTAACTTGGAAGTTATATATGTTTCCTCTATATGGTTTGAGAAGATAAGGAGGCTTGTATATTTTTCTAATTTTTTGAAGATCGAGTCGGAGGTGGGTAAACCGGTTAACGGTCTGGTCCTTTGAATGGTTATAACTGGTCCTGTTGTAAGTCAGGAATAAGTAACCTATGCTCCCATGACTAGATAGAGGTGTATATGTCAACTTAGAAAATTCTGGACTCAATCTAGCATGTTAAAAGGTATAAGTTGGCTCAAATGGTCAAAAGTATCAGGATGTCTCATGTTCAAATCTAAGGAGAAATAAAAATCCTCTTGTGGCCATGGAGGTTCAAATGCGATGACTCCGGGGCCGGCTTGCATAATGGGTTGGATATCCAGGTTAATAAAAAATAGTAGATGAGGTTAATTTAGGGTTTTACATCATAATTACTATGTAAAATAGGTGATTTTTTTACATCTACTTGTAAGTTGTACCTATAGATAGTATAAGTTAAATTTAGTAATTATTCAATATTCATTGGCTGGGTTGAGTTGTCTATTTCAACCTAATCATGTCGACTTGTAAAACTTGGTACCTGATTTGGGTTGACTTTATTGGTCTATTCTTTGATTTGGGTTATCAACCTATTGGGTTCGTCCATTTTAACTTTACAACATTTATTAGAGCATCTCTATGGAGGTCTTTATAGGTAACCTATTTTTTGTTCTTTTCTTTATCATGTTATTTCTATCTTATCAAATTAAGAGCCTATTTTATATGTTTATAAATATATATACATATATATATATATTTATTGATGTTAAAAAAATAAATGTGATCCACAAAAAGGTTCTTATAATTAAATTTTCCGAGTTATTAATTTGATGAGTTTGATGTGATGTGACAATAAAAAATATTAAAAATATTTTCTTACGAAAACTCCATTGGAGATGCTATTATATAAAAGCATCTCCAACGGGAGTTCTTATAAAAACCTTCTTTTTGCATTTTCTGTCGGCAACTTATTTTTAACTCGTTAAACTTTGAACTCTCTTAAATTTTCACAATAATAGTTCTTACAAGTCACTACACTTTTTACAAATAAAAACCTTACATTAAAAATGCTCTACAACTAACATAAAACTCTACAACGATAATTTTTATAAAAATGTTTTTATGTCACATGTAATTTTTCAAGATCATGTATATAATATCAATAACTATAAAAATAAAAAATATATATAACAAAAACTAACATAGGGGGTGTTTGGGATTGCTTATTTGAAACAACTTATACTTTTTTTTACAAAAACACTTATCAACTTATTATAAGTCAGAATAGTTTAACTTATTCAAAAACTCCTTATTACCAGTTTGACACCGGTATAAGTTGTTTATCCAAACACTAAAAAATGTTTATTACCGGTGTCACACCGGAATAAGTCAATAAGTTATTTTTACAAGCAATCCCAAACACCCTCATAATATCACTTCACAATAATTTCAAGTTGAATCGGATCCTCTAAAACATCATGGGTTGGATCCATATTTATTAAAAGAAAAAGAAAAAAGAAAAAAGAAAAATTGCAAGTGGATGACGTAAGGGGTTTGGTAATGAAACAAGGTGTCCACGTGAGAAGGTAAAGTGGTTGTCTAGAAGTTAGCTAGCTACACCCAACGTTTTCCGCCACGTGTCCAACACACCTGTTTTCTTAAACCGCGTTGCCGTCTTCCCCACGCCTTCACCCTCACATTCTCACTCTACTCTCCTTTTCCACAATTATCTCCAAATCATTATTTCTAGACTCCACGACCAGTTTGCCAACTCTTCATTTATGAAATTGGTATCTCATGTAACAATTTATCTGATAAGTGTTAATTTTAATAAGAGTTGTCGTCTCATTTATATGATAAAACTTTCGGTCTTTGCATTCGTTCTTACCAGATAAGTTTCTTGGTCACTGTCATATTTAAATGACATGTTTTGACCCTTTGATTAACTGTTTTTAACAATTTTTATTTTTGAAAATTTAATGGATGATTGTATTTGTACTGCAAGTTGGGTGCTTAATGCAACCATATGGACCCAAATTGTTGATGTATTTAGAAATATTAAAATGATACTCGCACAATGCAACGAGATATATCTCCATTTTAATGTTTTTTTTTGTCTTTGTTGATATAATACGGTTTATGTGCTTTTGAGAATAATAATGTTTTTACTTTTAAATAAAAATAAATTTGAAAAAATATATCAATATTAATATCAAATTAACTATTTAAAAGTTCTCGTTTTTTTTACAATTTCTTTAATTCGATTTTTTATTATAATTTAATTTAAGTTAAATAGTGAAGTAATTTATTTTTGGCTTAACAATAAATTTTTTATAAAAACAATAATTCTGTTATAACTCAATAATTACTCTAATTATATTTTAAATTTTTTATAATTAAAATAAGATGTTTATCATGTATTTGATTATGTTTATTTGCAGTTAGTTACACGAATTCAGATATGAAACTTTAATAAGTTGTACTTACGCACAATCTACTTGCAATCTTGAGTTTTAAATAATATGCATTAATTAATAAACAGTACTTTACGCATAAAAAGTGGTTTTTAAGAGTTTTTGTTAAATGTTTTATAATATAGTATAAATAACTCATTAAAATACTGTAACCACTGGAACACTATACGTTAAAAAATGCAACGATATACAGATATAACTCGTTAAAAAACACAATTACAAAAACACATTCCGTTGAAATTTCAAAAAAAGGACAAGAACCACTAAAAATACATAATCATAGGAATGAAACACGTAATTTAACAAGTACACATTTTTTTAATCACAAGTTATCATTAAAAATTATGTATAAAAAACTAAGACTTTCTTTTTCATAGTTACGTATTCCATTAGGACAAATAATAAGTAATCGTAACATGAATTATTTGAATTCCATAACTATTAATTATTATTTTTGTATAATATAAATGTTAAGAAGCAATAAATACGACGGTGTAGTGTGAACGGAGTATAAAATGAAAACACATAGAAGTTGGGAGATTGGTAGGCTGGCTAACGACGAAATTAAAGCTGCTCAGCATTTCTTCATAAATTCTCAAATTAATTTGTTTTAAAGAATTATAAATTATTATTTTTTTAGTTTTTTATAATATTTTTTGTATTTTCTAATATCAAACAACACCCTTCAAAATTTAACGAGTGCATCTTTTATAACCCAATTCTACTTACGAAGATAAGTTGAAGGGCTGCACAAGAACTCGCTCGTAGGTCTGCCCCTGGAACATGTGGTGTTAATTTTGACAGTCAGGAACTTAAAGGGCTCGAGTAAGATACCAACCAACAAACCCTTAAATGCTATGACCTAACTTTGTTTATTTTACTCCAAAATATATATACAACTTCTTAGGTTAGAGTCTCAATAGATACCAAAGATTGCTAAAAATGGATTTTATGAAAATATGGAAGTTTACCTGATCATTACCATACTGGATTTTGGGTGTGGACTTGGTCAACAGACCTAGAGGGATGGTTAGGTGGCACGTGTCACCGTATTGTTCCTCCGTAGTAAGATAAAAAAATTAGGTTCGTGAAAAGTACAACCGTTTTATATAGTACCACTGTATTCAAAAAATATTGGATCTGTCCCTGGACTTGGTTTAGATGCTAGAAGACAAAAAACAATTGTAATATCATTTCCACTTTTTGATTTGAGGGTGTAGAGGCATGTGGTTTGGTAACCAAATGCCACCACCATACACTCCTTCTTGCAACTCCTACCAAATTAATATTGCTATCACTTGCTGTAATTCTACTGATTATTTTCAACTAAATTTTGAAAAATAATGAAAGAAGCAGCGAAGAAAACAAGACGGTAGTTGTTGATAGTCTCAGGTAGATAGTTTTTATGGGGCGTAGGCCTTCTAAAAGGTGATAGAGGCGTGTAAAGGGTTGTCCATGTACCAGTAGAAGATTCAGCAGCTACTGTGGCCCCTTCAATGTTAGATTTTACCCTATGTTAGAACATTTCTGTGTTTGCATGATAGAGTTTGATTTAAAGCACATTCTTTTATTTGTTTATTTTAATGAGGAAATAACATTTTTAAAAATTTTAATCATCAATATATATATATATATGTATATATATATATATATATATATATATCTCTGTGTGTGTGTGTGTGTGAAGTTTCAAATAAGAACATCCATTTTAGATAATGTAAAGATACACCCTTATCACATGTGATAATACACGTGAAGGGGGCTAGTGATGTAAAAACGACTTGGCCCGCAACCTAAGTCTCAGCAAAAGCTGTCTGCATCTTTGATTTAGTATCACATGTGATTGACTATAGTAAAATGATGTTCTTCTAAAATGAAAGTGTTCTCACTTGGACTCTCCCCTATATGTGTGTGTGTGTGTGTGTTAAATATTATGCGAAGGATGTGTGAGAAAAAGAGTTAAGGTGAGAAGTCTAAGAAGAGTTCTGGACTCTCGATCACCTTTAATCTCATACCCAACTATGAATTGCGTTTGATATGGGTTTTGATCAAGACATCATGTGCATCTCATCCTATCGTGCATTCAAGAGTGGAGATCCTCTCTTACGATTCTTACCTTAACTCTCATTCTCACTGGAATTTTAAATATATATATATATATATATATATTTTTGAGATCATGTAAGACAATACTGTTTTAATTAGATCACCTAATCAGCACTAAATTTTCACGGTAAAACACTATGAAGACAACGTTCACGGTTTTTGCTATGAAAGTTTGGAATTTCTTTTACCTTCACAATATTTTGCTATAAAATTTCAAATGTTATTTTATGATCTCATAAGTCTAAAAAAAAATGTTGTGTACATATATAAAGAAAATGGATAAGGTTGATTTCTGATTTTATATTAGGACGGAGAATCGAAGAAGAGATATGTGGACGTGAATTGTAATTGTAAAAACGCACCTTGATTTTGAAACAACATTCCAAAGTCCAATTTTCTTTTCTTTTTTATACTTTTATTCACAATCACTTTTTGAAATCAACTCAAAGGCTAAATATTTATATTCTAGATTAAGTTTTATAAATATGGTTACTTAACATGTTAAATGTGAGATTTTTAATAGGACCCATAAAATTTTAAGACCAAATTACATGTGTTCAAGGTCTTTTTATCGAACTGTATAAAAAATTAAATATTAATATTAGTAATTTTTAAGTTTTATAAATATATAAATACAAATAATAATAATAATAATAATAATAATAATAATATTGTAAGGTTTTGTTTGTTATGTGAAAAGGAACAAAAATAGTAAAGTAGTGGTAGAGTAGCAGCAGCCATAGCCATCTCCTGTCTATTTCCTTTTTAACTCCAAAAGGACGTTAATACCCCCAACTCCGCTCTCACTCTTGACCCACCCGCCAACCTATCCTTGGTGTTCGTTCGTTAGTTAATGTACCATTTACAATATAATATCTATAATTATCTATACTATATTATAAAATATTTGGCTAAAACTCTTAAAAATTATTAAATTCTTAAAACTCTTAAACCCGTTCATCCCTAAACAATTTCATCCCTATC